CGCCGCCCTCCCCGTTGGCCGCAACACGTACCATATCTGCTTGATGCGCCACGTCCCAAACTAGATCTACCATCCCGCAGCACGACCAGATTCGCCCAAGGCCGATACGATCCGTCGACCGCCCAAGACCAGATCCACCTACTGCCGCTTTGATATGTTTCCGATATGCCGCCCAACTTCCATCTTCTAGCAATTGTTCAAGGAAGGTAAGACCCTTTATTCAGATTTTTTGTATTTTATAGGTATTTAAAAAGATATTTTTGGTTTTCCTATATTTTAGGGTATTTAAAAAATACAAGTGTGGGACCGACATGTGTCTTTTGTTTATAATTAGATTTGAGAACTAACTGCAACAGACTTACTATATTTATATAGCTTAAATTCTAAATAGAATCTATAGATATGGTAAAAGTTAGAGGAGTAACATCTCAACAATGACTAACAGGACGTTCAAAGGAATCGTGCAAAATCAACTTAAAAAGTGAAAAAGATGTATAGATGCAGTAGTTTATATATTTCTTGTTTGTTAATTTTTACAGTAATATTTACAAATTAGATTCATTGAGCTAACTGTACTCGTATATTTCAGGAAAAGGAAAAGGTCTCAAGATAGTTGAGGAAGAACGTGTCAGTGAGGTAATTATTGGTATATACATGTACTGACATTCTACTTATGATATTTGAGTTGTATAGTTGTATATACATGTATTGACTTTCGTATTTTGTTAATTCTTGAATTGGTATGTACATGTATTGACATAATTGAGTTTCATGGTGATATATACATGTATTGAATTATAATTTTGATTTTTCTTTAATTGGTATATACGTTTATTGATCTTTTAATTTTGATAAATTCTCTAATGTTTTAAAGGATGATACAAAGTCTAATGAAGAGAATGAAAGAGTGAATAATGAGTCCACTGACGAACATAAGAAAAATAACTCATCGTCAAAAGAAGTTTAAGAAATTGAATATGATGACGATACACGCCCAAAGACTACAAATTTAAGAGGCATCACCTATTTTCCTAATCGCTTTGATTTATGGGTTGTTAGTCTTTGATTTTTTAATTTACTTTTGTTGTAGATGATTTATTAAATGATAAAGAAATAAGAAAACAAGAATACAAATAACCTGTGACAGCATATACTCCTTAGTGGTTAGGTATATATACTACTTGATGCAAATATGTATATATACATTAAGAAGATACAGTAGAACAATTGCAGAACGATGAGATGAGACATGAATCATTATCATTTAAATTAATTAAAATACAAAACAAAGTAATTAAAATAATTAACTTGAAATCCTTGAACGTAGGAAAATCATTTTGAATTCAAAACAAAGTTTGTTAAGTGATTGAATATAAGGAAAAGCCAAAAAGACATAGAAAATGGTATTGTTGGAAAACTACGTGCTTTTGTAAAACTCTTAAAATACCTTTTAGCCATTTGTGTAAAATTTAAAATTAATAGACATTTTTTAAAAGCAAAGTTTAGCCATCCAGTTAAATTTCCCAAACTTTAGGGGCTGTTTGGCCCAATGATTTATTAAGCCCGAAGTTGGGGGTAGACTTCCCAAGTCCACCTTCTGTTTGGCCCAAGAAGTTGTATAATCTTGGTTAAATAACTCCACACGGAGTTCATTCACAACTCCTCCTCAATCCACGTGCGAAGCTTTCTCTCTCATCCAATTCTTTAGCAGTTTC